GTAGAGGATAGTCTGGGAGAACACAAAGTGTACTAACTTTTGGTTTCTTTAAACACCACGCGGACGGAGTCGCGGGTAAAAGCTAGTATCTCTAGATTTTACGGTTTCCTCACAGTAACTACTTTCTGCCTTATATTATCGACTAGCTGTTCCCGTGCGACTTCATCCGCATAAAATTATGAAAATATTATTTTATTGCTTACATTTGTCAATTTATTAATTGCAAATGTCAAAATGACATGACATGACAAACCATGACAACCTAGCTTCCTTGATGTTGGCAGCAACTGGTCTCTTTCCCACATGAGTGTTTTTATTCAAAATATTTACCCCCTAAGTTTAATAGCGTGAAAATTTATAGCCTAAAGCATGACGTAAGTGTAAGGCGTTTTATGAAAAAAGAATTGTTCGAAAATTTGCTGTAATTGCTGACATCTTAGGCAATAAAGAAGTGTGTGTTTACTCTTTATTATAATAGTATAGATTATAAATGACTTTTGAACAATTTAAGATGAAATTAGATAAATTTTCTAAGTATCACAAAACATAGCAAAGAAAAATGTTTTTAATGTTTTCTTTTATTCAGCTGTGCCAACATAAAGCCCACTTTCAATATCTTCTTGTTTAACCTAATTACATATTTATTTAGTCACGATTAGCGACACAAGTTTTTAATAAATTACATGTGTCAATTACTCATGTAATCGTTAACTAAAACAATTTTATTTATTTGTAATCTATACAAAATACAACGTAGCAAGGCGTTAAGAAAATAGACTTTTCTTAATGTTCACATGTAGAGTAATGTCACAATTTCACCGAGCGCAAGTTTACCGATGATTCCCCCTTCCACTAACACTGACTGTGTCCCCCAACCAATCGTATACTCAATACTATCTATTAACACGTGACGTCATGTGGCTATCGGCAAAGATGAGCACGAGTAAAAGGTACATTTTTAGATAACAAATGATGGAATTTCGGTAACATCTATCGTGGCTTCATATAGCCTTAACTACTCGTTATTTTCATACAACTACATTTAATTCGATATATTTTATTCTATGTGTACACTAGGTATTACGATATTCATTTCAAATTTCACAGCAACGTATAATTTTTTCAAATATCATTATTATAAATTTGTTTCCTTACTATTTAGTGCGCGACTGTACTCACTAACATACGTATGTAAGTCACATATAATTTAAGTTCATTCGTTCCACAACTCGTAGGACATCGTCTGTTGAACGTTATTTTAACTAATTAAAGTATTATTTGCAACAATGAGTAGGCTGAGTCTTTTTCTAATTTTATTCGTGGTATTACTCTACGCAAAACTCGGTGAATCATACGGCAAGTTATTTTAAATCCGATTTTATATCATAAACTGTCATTTTTTGCACATTTTTTAATGAAGTGAATATTTTTCAGATGAAAGATGTAATGTTAATTACGATGAAGGCCGGTGTAAGATCGTAACCAGGTAATAACGATTTGACCACCTCATACTTAACCGAAATACACGTACCAGTAAAATGGGTAGCTGGCTTGCTAGTTACTGGCACTGAGCTAATGGTACAATGTATTCACATGTCAGTAAAATATCAAGGTGATCGTATGAGACTAGACGTGTCATTGTAAAATTTCCTACCGTCTCTCTCAAGTTACTTGCTCTTAGCTGTCACAAAATCATATACCATCGCAGCTATTTGCGTGTGTATTTCCGACCTTTTAAAAACGAGTATACGAGATTTTCGCTCGACATAATGTAATCATACTAATATCATAAATGCGAAAGTTTAGATGGATGAATGTTTATTAGAGTTTGTAGCCTAAACAGCTGAACGGATTTCGATGACATTTCGTATAGATGTAGAAGATAGTCTAAAAGAACACATAGGCTACTCACTTTTGATTTTTTTCTTTAATACACGCGGACGGAGTCGCGGGCGAAGCTAGTAATAGATAATTACATTTTTCGTTCCATTTTTGTAAACCATTCTTAGAGTTTAGAAATAAAAAGTGTCGACTGAGCAACATTTTACGAAGTTCGACTGAAACTGTAAAAATAAATATGTAATAAAAATTAATTACATTTAAGTTTTAACTTCAAATAAAAATAGTTTAAAAATGTTATCTAAATGAATTTCAATGAAGTTTCAAATCTGATCTATTAAATTGACTGACCTTTAGGTTTAAATGTTTTATTTCGTTTGAAATCTCGTAGCTAACTTTTATAGCTACTTGTATGTAGTATTAAAAAGGTAAACATCCAAGATTTGTATGTTATGTGTGTTCAGGTACCGCTACGACAGGCGCGCCCGGCGCTGCCTGCCTTTCGACTACAGGGGAGAGGGCGGCAATAAGAACAACTTCAACACATTAGAGGACTGCCAATTCCGTTGCGAAAACGACAGGCCGCTAAGTATTTTAGGCAGATAAATATATATCTACTTTATTGTTTAAGCATTATAAAATCCGATATACACGTGTACATTTTAATGCTGAAGCTTAAATAAAATACTAATAAACCTTTATTTTTTTATTTCCTTTCCTTCGTTTGCGAACTATTTTTGCTTTTTACATTTTGATGTCTTTTATCTGGTTTTGATATGCACGCTAGCTTTTGTGAAAATGTAAAATTAAAAATCAACCTTCACTTAAGCCACTTTGTGACGCTGACAGTGTTAGTACTGTGCCGAACTCAATTTACAAATTGAAAGGAACGCGTTTAGAAGCCGGGATTAGACATGAATAGAAAATGAATAAAGCAAACAATTTGATTTAGAGCACGTGTGTTCTTGGAATTTATGCAGCGAGTTCTTGACACGTTACTAATAACACAATGCACACTAACCGTTAAATTGGTGCTATACATTTTTAACAGTTTTATTCAATGATATATAGACAACTTTATGAAATAGCGCCGAGCTTCTTATCGTCCTCGGTAGCGCTTTTTTATTACGATGTTGTGACTTAACGCAAAGCATAAAAGTTTTTATTGCCGAGATAATGTATGAGATACGAAATCACAAGGTTTCTTTCTAAGAGATAAACAGAAAGAAACCTCGAGACTTATTTCGTCTAAAAATTCAGTTTTGGTTCTATTGTTTTTTACGGAAACATTGACAAGCAAATTATGCGAATTACACTTTTTTACTAACAGTTGGTATCAACATAATTATAACATATGTATCTTAATTTATTTTTAAATTAAATTAAATTACATAATGTAGCTCATTAATTAATTAATTATGTTGCTTAAGTATTGCTTGATAACTTGTATGAACAGTACGACGTTTTTTAATTACTCTATTAAGTATTTAGTTCAAATACATAAATGAAAGTTACATCCAACTACCCAACATGACACCCGCCACTTCAGCGAGTATAAATGACCTTTGCCCGGTAACTTCTTAGGGTTAAGTTTATATCGTATTGGTCCTTACGTATGTGGTCTATAACTTCTCTTAATTAAGGGTCCCACTGCTCGTGTGACCTCCACTAAAAATGTACCTTTTAAAGGAGTTTACAGGAATAATCTTTGGATATATACCCACCTAGAGGCTTGAGGCTAGTCAAGGTAAACACTGGACAAACGTGGGTTAGTTGACTTCACAAATATCTATAATCTTTCGCAGCTACGTGTAGGTCACAATGTAAGGAAGACATTATAATTTAATTGTTAATTTACAAAAAGTGTAACAAGTACGAAATAATCATCAATAGATTTAAGAAATCCTTGACACTCTTTCTTATAATTCTGTTCCCTTTTAACATGTTAATTAAAACGTATAGATAAAAAATTGCAGGCGAATTACGAGAGAATTATCATTTATTATTATTATAATTTAGGGCGCGCCAGTACTTAAATGTTAAGATCAATATATCCGTTTTATATTTCTTCAGATGTCGTATATGTAAAGACATCTTTGTTAATTTAAAAAATGTACATTTTAAGGTTATCTTTCATTTTAGTCATGGTGTTTTTGTTAGTCGCTGTGTTCGGGCAAACAAGAGGCAAGTTATTTTTTGTTTGTTAATAATAATTGCTATGGTTTAGATATAACTGACTGTTATTTTAATAAAACTACTTTTGATGAGTAAAATAAAAAAATTACAGATCCGAGATGCAGAATGCCAATAAATAGCGGAGAGTGCAGGAATGTTACCAGGTAACGATTTACTATTTTCCAAACATAGCACTAAACATTCATATGTAAAATGTTCTAAAAAACTACGTGTTAATATTTAAATTTAATGTCAACTTAGCTAAGAGTCCTACGTCT